TCATGTAATTCGATAAAAAACATAAGTTTTTTCTATCCCAAGAATCGAATATCAAATAAGAAATCGGCAAATCTCGTTAAATGGATGGTTGACTGTGTAAAGCTAAATACAGATGGCGCTAGAGGTTAAAATTCGTCGTTAGACTTTCCGACTGATTTTTACGCATAAGCTTAAAGAAACGCACCATCCAATAATAATATACTCGTAGTGTTTTCAATATAACGCTTTCTTTCAATCTAACTTCCAAAGAAACAAACAACAAATGAATTCGGAAGATTCCGCAAGTTTTCTGCGATGCTACCTAAAAAATAACAAACTGTGCTATTTTACACAAACATAGCTAAACAAGGGATAACACTCAAAACATAGCTAACCTTACACTTTATTTACGCTGTGGAATTAATTTTGTTGAATTTGCTTTAGGCTCATGTCTTGTTAGAATTTATAATTTACGGAAAACTCTTATAACAAAAATCACAAAAATAAAAAAACTTCCTATAACACATGCCTCGTATGCATAACATAAGCGGAAGGATAGAAAGGAAGTCTTCTAAAAAATTTTTCCAGTTTTAAGAAGAACCTTGATATTGTTTACAATCAGTCAACCATCCTTACCAAATGAAAAGATAATCGACGTCACACGAGTGAGAAGGGAAAGCACGAGAGTTGAAGAATGAATAGATCTCTCCATATTAGTTTTTATGAATATTAAAATCAAGCCCCTTCATTCAAATTTTACTTTTTTTTTTTAATGAAAAAAGAATATTTGGTTTTCATTACCATACAAAAGACGGAAAAAATACAGATTATTTTGTTAACCTTTCAGGTTATATAAAAAACAAATTAAAATCTTAAAATTTAATAATTTTAAAACTAATTCAAAATTTCAATGGATGGTGTTTTTAATATAAATGTAAACAACCACTATCTTGACCTGCTCTACTACCGGTTGGAAAGTACGCTACTATAGCAACTTATTCTACGAGGCGATATTTTCAAACAAATAATTTCTCTTTTAATGAAAGAAATAAAATATATGATTTCTGAACTCAAATATGTTGTATTTCATTATATTTATTAATCACCAGGATATTTAAGTAATCCTGGTGACTTTGTAGTGAGTATTTGTTTTAGTTATTTATAAATGTACTGTTGAAAAAGGTGATATTGTCGCTAGATTTAGAAAGACCTCGCTTTTTTTTTGGCATTCTGGATTCGACCACTTTTTATTGGTTTATTATTGTTTGTTCTTGTTGCAAGCCGTGTAACATCATATTTTGGTGTCAACATATTGTTCTAGCAGCGAGATTAAGATCATTATAAAAATCATCAATTAGGTTTAAATTTCGAACATGGCATATTGCTGACAAGGTAAGAAATGTTTTATAACGATTATTTTTTCTAATGACGGTTCTTAACGTCTTTAAATATCAGGTTTTCAAATGGCAATTCTTAAAACAATTCTTTTTTTTAAACACAAATAGTAAATCCGGTAACAAATGCGCGTATAGTTTGTCTAAAGTAAGAACTCCCCTCGCCATTCGCCTGAACCCGTGGCGGTCACTATGGTAACGAGATATAACTATTTCAAGTAGGGGTGCGGGGTCATTGTTTAAGACAGGATTTAGGTCCGGTCAGCGAGAGAAAGGAGATCTTTCTCTTCGTTCTATTGTGTTAGCCTTAGAGAGAAGCTACCCTCCCTGAAATGCGCTATTCTTGTTTCCATAACAACAGAAAGCCTCAGACTTTGTAGTGGGGGGGGGGTTGGTTCTTATTGTAGACAAACTATATACAAGAAATACTACTCAAGAGAGTCTCAAAACACAATGACCAAGTTGTGAGTCAAATGGTTTTTCAAAATACACGGGAAACAGTAACCCGGAAGTATAGGAAGTCAAGAGGTTACAGTGCTACCTAGTGTACAAAACACCATCGATAAAAAGGACAAAAAAAAAAAATTTCAATTTTTATTTTTTACTATTTTTCATTTTCAGTCAGAAAAGTATGTTGCTGATAGAAACTATAATTTTATTGCTATTAGTTTTTCCAAAAATCCGAAAGATCATCAATACAAATTATTTTATTCAATCAAAGCATGAATAAAATTTAAACAAATTTTAAGATAATAAATTTTAGGATAAAACTTTAAAATGGAAAAGCGCTAAAAGCAGCTAAAACCAAATTTGTACAGTCAAACCCCGCTATAGTGAACCTTCAAGGGACTGAAATTTTGGTTCACTATAACCGGGTGTTCACTATATCCATTACGCAGGCAATTTAACTAATGGTTCCCAAACTCCTCCCTTTTATTACACATTATTTAAATAATTGACTGAAAAATATTATGTAGTAGCGGAAAATGTGTTATTTTTCATTACTCTTCGTCTTGCTTACAAAAAAAAAAAATTAGTAATATTTAGCTGATGAGCAATCCTCAAGATAGATATGGAAACATTTCCTGACTATCAGATAATTTTTCCTGAATTTCGAATATTTCGCTTTTTAAACCTGTCTAACCTGCCATTCGAGCACATAAAAGTAGTGTCATAAAATCGCTTAGCAAATTCATCGACATTTGTCCAGATACTGGAAGATTCCGACTTCTTTGAATGCTGAAGCACTTCAGTAATGCTTCTTCAACATCCTTGTGATCTGCTTTTTCTCAACTTTTTTCTGCCATCTAAATTTTTTTCATGAGTAGAAATAATTAATTGCCTATTTTTCCATATGCTACAAACTGCAGATTTGTATAGTTTATATTCCATTCAATTTTTCTGATTATGCCCATTTTATCATCAATGTAGAACGTTTTACGTTTACTACTCGCCATAGTTAAATTTGAGACACTTGTTTGCAGG